GAAAGAGGGAATGTCGATAAAACACTCTAAAAAGTAGCCAATACTAAACCCAAGCTCAATAGGACATAAAAATAAAATACAAATGACGATAGACTATAGAACTATCGACAGAACGTCCGGTAAACAACTCTCATCGACAAAATTTATGCTGAAAAGTGGCAGTGTAATCTTAAAATATTAAATGAGATTTAATTAATAAGTGCAATTAGTTTTCTTTTCAACTGTTTGAAAATTATTATTTGAGAAAAGGAAAAATTTAAAAAGAAGGTTATTAAAGACGCGTACGACGTCTTGGTGTTCATTCTGTTCTGCCTTTTGATTGGCCATGCCTTGCGCGGCGCGCGTTGCAATATTGCCATGTTTGTCCTAGACGTAGATTTAATATGTAGCTAAACAAGCCTTATAAATAATTAACAAGTTCCAACAGTTCTACATTCCAAATTTAAGTTCACGCAAAGGGTAAACATAGATGTCTATCTATTCTTTTATACAAGAATGATTAAATCGTGACCGTGAATCGTGATTAGTTACTTAAAGTTTTTATTAAAAATAGGATCAGGCTCTATTGACTGTCCGGAATTGCTATCACAAATATCACCGAGAGGTCCCTCGAAGTATATTAGAAACAATTCACTTTTTATTCTACCTCCGGCTCGGACTAACTACAGGCAAAATGAGTTTATATGACGTGCAAGCAATAATTTTAATATTTTATATAATACTTTTGATCTTGACCTTTTCAATACTATAGTGTGATTTCAGCAATGACAGCACTGTGTGAGCACTTCTATGACTCTTATTGAGGCCTACAACTTCAGTGGTCTTTCTTCTTTTTTTATGTTTTATATAATAAGTTAGATAAATTGTGCACCCATATTCCTTATTATATTTTTACTTACGAGGATCGTTCGTTGGCTCTCAATCTCAAATCTCAATATTATTTAATTTAATTTTAAGCTGTTGATCTACCTTTAAGTAAATAAATAAACCTTATGACCTGAGTTATACAAAGTGCAAGAAACGATAGAAAATATTCCGCTGTTACAAAAAAATAATATAAAAGTACATTTTTCAAACTATAACTACCTGAACCACCGTAACCATTTAGGTAACCGTTAACCGTTCAATCAACATACGAACCAAATACCAAATATTGATAAATTACAATACTAACTACGCAGTTATTTATTCAACCTATTAGAGCATCTACCTACATGACTATTTTGATAAACTACGCAGATATAGCACGAAATTGTTGTTCTGTACAAGAGAATCAAAGCATTAAATGTTTTATAAAATAACATTTTGTTTAATGAAAATGTCCATCCACGCTATCAATACACGTCTGCCATCTTGCTAGAAGCCCATTTATTATTTTGCAGTAGTTTACCGAAGAACGGGAAATCACAAAGTCTTCACGGGAATTGAATTATTTTCCTTGTAGATATAAAGAAATAAATTGCGAAAAAATAAATATACTAGGCGAGTGTACATGGAAGGAAGATCTTCAGACAGTAACTGCTGCAAAGTGAAGAAATGTTTGGCTGAACGCGCTCTGGTGTAAGCGTTCAAAAGTCTCAGCGGCTTCATCATCCATTTTTTGTTTTATACCAAGCGACGAACACGTGTAGTGGCACTCAGAGCTTTGAATCGCAAAGATCTGACGGACACTGTCACCTTGAGACATAAGTTCACAAGTCCCGTGTAATTTAATCAGCTCTCTTCAAAACCGGAACGGAGTAAAGCTCACATTCCCACTAGGCTGCAGAAATAAGCAATCAATCAATCAATCAATTTATTTATTTGTCTGAATAAGGTACATATAGTTCTTATTTTAAATACAAATATCCAGCTTATTCTACCATAGCAAGTAAATATTGTCGTAATAGCAAACACACGGTAGAGCTCCTTTTCAAAGAGTTTGTCCAGTGAAGTACTGCCACCTATTTCTGCCACCAAGCAATAATGTGACTGACTATTACTGCATTCCGGTATTGAAGAATAACGGTGCTGATGAAGTTACAGGCACATGGGACTTGTCAACTTATGTCGCAGGGAGACGGGCGCAGTGGCAGTGCCCCAAAGATCTTTGCGATTGAAAGCTCTTGGGTGGCACTGCAACTGCAATGGATATGCGTGTCGCTTAACATCAGGTGCACGACTTGTTCGTCCCGTCATTGGTATTATAAAAAAACTCTAAGGAAGCTATTGGGGATTAACTCCGCGAGTAGACCACCAATCGATTACCAACTATGTTCTGTGGGTAAATTTCTTTTTTGGACACTGGGTTTGTCGCCAAAGTTAACAACCACTAGGTTGATCATGTCTAATCATCGTAAAGAAACCATTTTTAATTGCAATTAATGATACTCTATATCCTTCTATTAAGTGCAAGCTTCGACACTCATTGCCCGTTGTAATTCGAATGCATGCGGTACCTACTTTCCTACTTTTTATTTTATTTAGCAAATAAGCGCTTAACACAGAATTAATGGATCAGTTGTAGGCATAGTTCATCGAGACTCGATGCTACATTAATACTCTTTGTATTGATTGAATTGAACACGCAAAACACAAATTTTGGCCGAAACATAATTTTAAATTTTGAAGCCATGTTACCAGAATCTTGCCCTAAAAAGATTTTATTTCAATTCAAATTGGTGGGTGCTTCTGAGTCTCACACTTTACCCTCTAATATTCACTAAGCGAGCATGTCATTTGCATAGCCTTGACAACGTACGTACGTACGTTACAACGTGGTTACAACCAAAGCAGAGACATGCCTAGTCTGTAATTTATCAAATGATGTTCTGAGATTTTCCATATCAAAGCAAAATTGTACGACTGAATAGCAGAAATACGTGAATAAAAATCATGTTATCCTCGCCAGTTGTGATGCGACAAAACACTTGTTATTTCACATAGGGTAATAATTTAAGGGTTTTGTTTAATAAGTAACTTAGATTTGCATGATAATAAAATTGTTTTTTCTTTGTCTGTTTTCGACCCTACAGTTATGGCGTGGTGAATACAATATTGAGATATAGTACAACTATTTTGTTAACCTCTCGCATGCATGTCGTCGGTGTGTTGTAGAAAGAGTGTAAGCACCAATTGGAAAAAAAATAGGGGGCATGTTTTAGGTTATAACGACGTTTTAAAACATTTGCTTCCTATTTTAAATTTAATTTCAAAACTTAGTTTAAATTGAATTTTAAAGCAGTACATAAATATTTTGAAACAGTTGTTAAAAACATAAAACAGACTCTTAGAAAAACTTTTCGACACTCAGAAAAAATTTTCGTTCAGTCCCTTTCTACAAAACCGACGATGTCTAGTTGTAGTAAACTGTACAATGGGTTAAAGGGTGGGTGCTAACGACTATAAAAAATTTAGAATTTAAGTATAAAAACGAAAACTTAAAGAGACTATAAAATATATACAAAAAAGATTTGTAGCAACTGCTGCGATTCGCGACATTACTAATACATTATCGTCTCTAAAAAATTGAATTCAAAATTCTTTATAGTTGTTTCGATTTCCATGTAAACTATTTAAACAGCTGTAAAACTAATTACCTTTTTAAATAAAGTTTACTTCTTAATAATATACCAAACAATTAACAGAAATATAACCAAAATAAAGAGTTCTAACTACTGCACTCTGTACATCCGTTCTCCGTACGGCGTTCGTACTGTCAAATATGTAATACTCGATCAAATTATTAGACGCATGACGCAAATGAAGCTTCATACTTGACATTGGTTCTAGAAGTCTTTAAATTGGTCGAGTATTACTTATTTGGCAGTAATTGACATGTAATGACAGACGGAGATCGAGAATAGACGAAATACAGGGACAGCAGAAACACGAAAATTATAGAGAGATATTACGAAAATTTACTAACCAAATTATTCAAATGTACTCTTACCAATTTCCTTATACGAATGCTTACAATATCTGTAAGTTTACCCTCATCTCATTTAAACGCAATGTTCAAATAGTTATCACGAAACCGAAGTTTGTAGTGTGGAATTCGTAGACAAACAAACGTATACATTACAACTTCACGATTTAATTTAAAATTTACATTTGTTTACGACCGAATGTCATGTGTTAATTTACCATTTACAAATTTTGGAATATTTCTGTGTAAGTTATCAATATTATATTAAGAGTCTAATGGTTTTGGTAGATTCAACAAAACATTGAAAATGTTGAGTCATTCACTTTGGAAAAAATATAGGGTCACGGAAAAAGTTCGTGGCGTTTTTTCGCCAAATTACTAATACATTTTTCTTACATTTTAATCTATCTGATTTTAATCTATTTGATCTACCACGTTTTGCTATTTTTCTGGTAAAACCATTATACCATCAGCGTGAACTTCTGGGATTTCTGGGCGAAAAACTGAACCAAATGATTTTCGCAGGCCTCTTTTGAAGTCGGCTTTACACCATTAAGCGAGCTCTGCAGAGAGCGAAACAAATGATAGTCGGACGGGGCAAAGTCCGCGCTATATGGTGGATGTATCGAAACTGTCCAGCCAAGGTCTGTCATTTTTTACCGAGTCGTTGACAATAAAATAATAATAAGAAATAGTAGAGTCAATCGTCTTACCTGGTTCGTGCAGCTCATAATGCACGATACCTTTCCAATCCCACCAAACACAAAACATTATCTTGCGTGGCGTCAATCCGCGCTCGGACACTGTTTGTGCAGCTTGGACCATGATCTTTTTCTCACATTATTGTCGTGTATTCAATAGGTACTTTACATATACTAACGATGTTTAAATATCAACTGAATTATATAGAAGACGTATACTATACAACATACAATTTTCAAACGGCTTTTATTGCGTCTGTAAAACAATAAATTGTGAAATAAAACCAATGTCCCTCCCGCTAGACCTAAGCCAAATGGACCATTAAATACAAGAAAAAATTGAATTCGTGCTGAGATAGTGTCACTCTTATTTAAACATACACATGACTTACCAAGGGCAAAATCGCACACTGGTCCGAAAAACACATCTGCGCATTCATTGTACGCGTCGATAGCCCGAATAACTGCGTAGGCAGCATCGCAGTCCATAACATCATATGCCTTCCATTCGAAGTTCAGCCAAGGTGGAAAAGCGTCCTTAACCATCTCACTTTGAAGGGCCAGCTCGAAGACAGGTTGCACCTGCAAAATTAGTGCTCTCATTATTCTGCAAAATAAAAACTTGACAGATGAAAACAATCATGAGGAAACTATGTTATTTTTTTTAATTCACAGAGTACACGTGTGTGAAATATCTGTAAAGTTTTCTAATAAATCTGTGCGGTGTGTTACGCCTAAATATGTTGTTTCTTTGGCATCTATTCCACCGAGCACAAGAAAAAATGTGGCCTCATTTACTTCTTCTTTCTAGTACTGGGGTAATTTTTCCGAATTTAACAAACTACAACAATAGATCAGTTAAAGCTCCGCTAAACAACTTATACGTGACTAACATAAATTTAAATTTTCACGTCTCTGTAAGATCCCCGTGACACAAAATATGTAAAATAAATATTTGTTCGCTACTTTCTGACTTACTTTTACAATTGAGTAAAGTGAGTATGTGTGTACTATAAAGATAAGAAGAATACGAATTTGGGCAACCCGCACCATGTCATCTTTCGCCATACCAACTTTTCTGGCCTTTATTTTCAAAGATAAAGTTCTTTTTTCATATTTGACTGTACCTTTCCAGAAAACAAGAATAAAATAATGTGAGCTATAAAACACTGGCTTTAATTTAAAAAATATATCGAGTTCTTAGGTTTTCGCGTTTGTTACACATAGGAAATATGTATATTGTATAAGCGTATATTTGATTTTTCAAACAAACCAACGTTTCGGGCCCTTTATAGGTCACGGTAGGTTTAAAGATATCCTCAATAACGAGTACATACTTATCATCAACCCAATTTATACGTCCCACTGCTGGACACCTATGTCCTCTCATTGGGGATTTGACACGTTTTCCGAGGGTTGTGAACATTCTTTTACGTGCAAGTTTCATCATGAGGTTATCCTTCACTGAAAAGCTCATGGTAAATACCAAATTAATTTCGCGCATAAATTTCGAAAAACTCAGTGTTGCGAGTCCGGATTCGAACCCACGATCTTTGCTAGAGAGGCATTAATGGCGAATCTGAATTCTATATAACTAGGCAACATAATTTAAATTCCTCTGAATAAATCGCCCGCGTGCCCGGGACTCTCATTTAGGTTAAAACGTAAAATCGAAATAATTAGAGCGTATTTTACCATGACAGTTACGCACCGCACGCGGTCGCTGCGCGGCGACAACGCGGACTCCGCTCGGCCACCGCGCGGGGCGAGCGCGATGACATTCATGTCGAATAAAAGCTGTGGTAGTCTAAGGGACTACCACGGCTTTTTTCATACTTTAGATACGGTTATACACATGAACAACTTATCAACAGACAAAAATGCATTTTAAAGTTCTTTTTGTTAACAACAACAAATAATTCCGAACACAATTCAATTTAGAAGCGTAAGACGACTTCAACACTTCGCAGCTGGATTCCGTTTGATGTGAAAGTCGTTTGAATTTTTGGACCGAAATCTGCAAATTTCGTAATCTTCAGCCCCTAGAAACAGCTTAGATATATAATTGGGTATGTCCACTCTGATCGCGTGATCGGTTGGTAGTGGAAACTGACAACCTTCAATGTCCACACTGAGATCGGAGATGATAGTTTCATCTACTACACATATGTATATTGAATAAGACACACATGCAGTTTTATTCCACTCTTCATGCAAATGCCATATTTTCATTAAATGATATCTGTTCAATTTCTTGTTTTAAAATAATCTTTTGCTCACGTTAAAGTGGGTAAAAATGATTAAATGAAATCGCGCGACCGGATACGACAAAAAAAAAAACATAAAGTAGTAGATGTATCTGATATCTCGATTAGAGTGTACACATTAATGGTTATCAGTTTGCACTACCAACCGATCACGCGATCAGCACAGGCATACCCGCATAATTTTCCTGTCTATGTTAGAAATACTGATTTCGAACATAAGTACGATATTCAAACTGTTATAGAGAACAATATTCATTGGTTTTCAATTCTGATTTTTGATAAATCTAATCATTTTCATATTACAAGTAGTTCGTTGATGGACTGGATACTTACGAGAGCCAATGATGCGTCGAAAGTAGTGTTGGCAGGCAGTAAAAGAGCAGCTTTTATAGTGCAATTATTTTTCTCGCAAATGGGTGTGCATGGCCTCGGGCTTTCCTCGACGTCCCGGCAATTGCGTGTCTCTATTCCATACACCCCGATCATCAGCACTACGTTCACCCAAAATGTCAACCACATATTTAACATCATGGTTACTCGTGTCTCGATTTCACTCAAAGCAACCTAACACTGGCTCGTTCATGTTTATTTTAAGCCCAAATACACTAGGGACTTTTACATTGTTCGTCTTTTACCTGAAACAAAGAAAACTCAATTTCAATAAATGTTTTCAAACTCGAAGTTATGTTTAATTAATTGGAAACCTCTTAATACTCTAAATCTACCTTAAAACGAATTTAAATTGTAATGTTTATTATTTTATTTATTGTTTATTATTTTTTATAAATATATTTTGTTATTGTCTGATAATAAAAGAAAAAACAAATGGATATTGTTTTCGACTTAAAAATGTAGAGTAAAAACTCTTTTTTTCTTTACAAACTAGCGTCAGCAGCTTTGTTACAAAGTAACAAAAGCACGAGAGAAAGTTTCAATCCTCCTCCGAAAGTGGAAAACGTAAATGGTATATGTATCATCTATGATGGTATCCATCAATAATTAGTTTCACAAATCCATGTACGAAGCGGGTGGCGAGACCTCAGGCGTTTCATAATATGACGTTGATTAAAATTATACGGCTTATGTATAAGTAAATGTAAGTTACTTATTAGTAATAATATAATAAAGACAAACAATGCCATTACAGCGTGCTTAAGAACAAAATACGATAGTTGTAGAAGAAGAAAAGAAATGCCATTTAAAAGTAATCCCGTAACTCCTGAACTAGGATATCATGTGTCTAAGGAGTTAGTGATTTTTCCAATATTGGATATTAATTATTGTACTCATCATACATTTTAATTTCCTTGTAAAATACGACGGTGTGCGCACGCGTGTGTGTGTGTGTGTGTGTGTGTGTGTGTGTGTGTGTGTGTGTGTGTGTG